ATATCGTAGGTGTAGTCATGAAGATAATAGCACTTTTCTGGTTCGGGGCTCATTGTTTTGTTTTTTGTTTTGGGGGATTTCTTTTGAACTGTGAATCTAACATTTTTAAAGGCTTTTTGAAAAATGTTTAGGTTTTCTTTATTATTTCCACAGAAAGTGCAGGAATGTTGAGTGGGCTTATTGGATTTCAATGAAGGGAGAAAATGCAGAACAAAAACTATTAAACGCTGGTCAAATGAACTGGAGAGTGGATAACAAAATTGATGCAAGCTGTATAATCTGCTTTTAGAGTAAGCTATATCAATCACAGTGCTATATTATCATTATAATCTGGTGTATAATACTTCTGCCTTTTGAATTCTGTAATGGCTCTGTTTTTATTTCCACATATTGAAAAGCAGTTTATTGAAGGTTTCGGTGTTCCTGGTTCAGAAATCTATGCTGAGAAATGGAGTTGGCTGGCTTTTTATTTTCTTGTTCTCAGAGATTGCAGTAAGGAGCTTTCACATTTTAAATGTACCAGTGTTGCATTGATGATGATTAACAATTTCTTTTGCCATAGCTGTTTAACGCATTGGAAGAAAATAGGAGCTTTTTTTGTAGGATGTCTTATTTTGAACACGCTATAAATTTTAGATGGGTCTGTCACTTATATTTGATGGCAAATTTGTCACTATTGGATCCATGTTTGCTTTGGGCTATAGATCCTGATGAAAAATGCCACAAGGGAACTGGTTTGGCGTTTTTTAAATCATCATCATCATGATTTCTGTGTTCCTTTGGTTTTGTTTTGAGATTACATATTTCATTTGGTGTGAAAATCATCCATGTGCAACGGCTCTCCTCTAAGATGCCAAGGCCTGCTTTGTGTAAGGGGGAATTTTTACCTCATGAGAACATGCTCTGCCTATATGGTATCTGGTAATGCCGTGAACTAAATGACTTCAGATCACTGATTTTCTCCAGGCATTGGTCAAGGGAGGGCAGCAGATGAGAATAGGAAGCAAATGTCTCACTAGTAGCATCAGAGGACTTTTGCTGATTTTATTTGGTTGCCACCGTTCTTTGATCGCCACATTTAGTTTTAAACAAGCTCCTAAAAACGGTGTGACTGGAAAGCACATTTTTGAATCTAGCAAACATCATTTGCAGTTTTCAGTGCCTGCCGTTTCCTTTGTAATTAAAAAGGGGAAATATCCAACAACCTCACCTCCCCCAAAATATTACTGTAATAGTAAACATCTAAAATTTTTGTAAAAAAAAATTTAAAAACTTTAAAAAAAAGTACCAAGAGCTTTGTATCTTCTTGAGTATATTAAAAATTTGACATGAATACATATATATAAATAAAAAAAATCTCTATATCTATATATATATATTGTTGCGCAGAGGATAGGTTAACAAAACCATGTAAAGTAGTTTGCAGGAGAGGGAAGCATTTGTTGATTCAGGGAAAAAGACTGATGCCAGAAGCTGTCAGTGATTTGGATGATACATGTGCTCCTTCGCGCCCTCCCTTTTTGACCCTCATCTTCCACATACATTGCAGTGGTCACTTCTGGATCCTGGGGAAGGTGAAGTTGCTTGGAGCAAATTAAGATAGCGAAGATTTGTTTTTCCACCTGCATGAGTCCTATTGGGCCAAAGATGCTCAGCGGATCAAGGGAAGCAAAGAGATACATCTGTGATTATCTGCATTTGTGTCAGGGCAGTGTCTCTCTATGTGTAGACATAAAGTGTGGCAATGAAACCAGATACATAGTCTGACTGTATATTCTATCAATGGTGCTCTTTTCATACTTGTTCTGCCAATATGCGGAGACCCTTTTAACCAAGCTACACAGAAGAGTTTTATATCACTTTTGGTTATGTACTTGGTGTATTCTTTTTGTATATGAAAGGATTTTTTTAAAAACGTTCAGTAATTAGCAATGGAACCTGCTTTGTAGCTGATTAGAACAGTGTAAGAAAAGGGCCGTGCTGTCAGTCTGTCCCTGATCTTCTTCAAATCTTATATTTACCAAAGGAGTCTGAGCAGAAGTTCACTTAAAATAAAGACCTGACTGTTGAAAGGAGTCTCTGCTAAGACTTTGTGATTTAGTTATTGTACAGATATTTCAAAGCCAGCAAGAGGTTAACAGAGAAAACTGCAGGAGGGGGGAAGTGACATGGGGCCAATTATGTCCATGACCTCCTATCCCAGATACCCCAAGGCTCTCAGTGGGGCGCTACAGGGACACTCAAAATCTGGATTGGAATCTACTTTGGTCTCTATCATTAGTGGGCTAAAAACACCGAGGAGTGTTTGAGAAGCAAATTCAGACCCTATCCCACTTTCCCCAAAAAATCCTTTTTGTATTTACACTGCATCCTGTGATAAGCAAACCTCCCTGTTGGGTTAGATGGCGTTGGCTGCCCAGGGTCGTTGTAGCAAACTGTTTCTTGTTTTCCTGGGGGTAAGCGTTCATGACAGCCAGCATAGTTGTGAGGTGGCAACATGGTTTATTGCTGCAGAAGAGCAAAGGATGGTATATCAAGAAGTCAAATACCAAGTCCATGGGCCAAGACTTCCCCTGGGAATCACGTGTCTAACACCTCCCCTTCCCATGCCTTACAATAACGACAAATTCCCAAGTATGTAGCAATAACCCATCATTTACATTACTGTGGTTTTTTTCTTCTCACCGAGCTGTTGTTTGGATATTGAGGAAGGAAAATGGATTGGGGGGTGACTTGCATGTGAGACTATCACCTTGTATTATCAGCCCACCAGCTGAAACCCAAAGCAGGATACTCTGAACCAGGTCTGGTGATTTAATGTCCTTTTTATCTATGGCCACAAGCTCGCTGGTGGGATGTGTGCCCACACCTGCCCTTACCTCTCCCCTTTTGGTGCAAGTGTGACTGGCTGTTTGAGCTGTTCTGGGATGTGGGTGGATGAACCCGTAATTGTATTTTGGCAGCAGGGACTGTATGTAAAGAAGGGAAAGCGGCAGTGTGTGTGACTAAAGCTGCAGTAGGGTCTAGAGTCTCCTGCTAAAAGGCAGGCAGTGCTTTTTAGGGCTCAGGTATGTGACCTCCTCTTTTCCTGTTGGCTCCACTGTGAAAACTGGAGGGAATCTGCCTGCAAAGGGCTGGGGTAGAAGAGATTTCTACCTGCAGAAATTCTAGTGGGAGGGATGGTTGTGGAAGGAAGTGATGGTGTTGCAAGGCTCCTGCTAAAGACAAGGAGGAAATTTGATGGCCCAGTGAGGGCTGAGATAACACAGGGGAGAGGGAGACTTCTGGTGGCATGTAGTTACTGCAGAACTTTCTTCCCAGGGAGGTGGCTTGCGCATCTCCCAAGCATCTTCACTAAGCTGTGGAGGTTTTAAAAAAAACACTGTGTGTCAAGACCCCCCTGGAGAGGCATCGTTTGGTTGTTGAGTGTGTGAGCAATGGTACTTGTGCTTACAGCTTCCCAGGTTAGTCGGTCTGTCTGCAGAACCCGGGGAGGAGAGTGGAAGGGCAAGGCTTCAGGATATCTTGTTTCTGTCTTGGAGTTAAGTAGCAATTTAGCCATAAGTGTAACTTGACAACTCAAGATGTGTTGCCAGCTTGAAATGCTCCCCAGAGAACAGCTTGGGCAGCCACAGGTCCTGATCTTTGGCGTCTTCTGGGCAAAACACCTGCCTATCCTAGTTCTACTCCTGTGCACTCGGACATGCCGATTCTGAACGCATCTGTATCAGGAAAGCAAATCTTGTCTCTGTTGCCAAGGCCTCACAGAAGGGACTGACCTGGGGACTAGGAACTGACTTGCTCTAAGTGACACATCAAGAAAGCAGGGGGTGGCATGTTTGTTACAGCAGATTAGTAAGTTCTTGCCAGCTCTGAGGAGTAGTTTTTCAGTAATGCTTTCTAGCATGCAAGGCTTATGCTAGGCAAAGCAGTTTTCACTCCTAGAGCAGTTCCATGAGATTGAAGGTGGTGAGTTACCTTCTGTTACTTGCCTTAAAGTTGAGTGTGTAGGCTCAGCTACCTGTGAGAGAGGCGCACACGTTAAACCCTTTGAGTAAGCAAAGCTTCAGAAGCCAAATGGGCACGTGAGAGTGGTTATAGCCCCTTCTGCTGTCCGACTGCCCACTCAGTGAAAAGTACGGTGTGCCAAGAACTTCAGCCAGCATTTTTGTGCTGTTGGGGTGGAGTCGTGCTCTCACAGTTTTTGAAGGTGTTTATATAGGCATAGTTTCTTGCAAAATTTCTTTGTTTTGATTCCCCTAAATTCTGGTGTTTCCTTATCTTTGACAGAAATTCACTGATTTATTGGTACAGTAACTAATCTAGTGCATTTAAGGGGAAGGTATTATGAACTTTTTTTTTTCCTGTCTTAAGTTTTACATCAGGGGTAGGATGTTCTGAAGTCCAAGGTGAGGAGGAAGATAGCGCAGATACTACAAGGCCTGCCAATCTGGTTCTTACTGTTCAGAAAAGCAAAATAACTAGACTAAGAAGCTTACTGGTAATTAGTAGCTAATGTGTTTGTAACTATCATGTGCCTTAAAATTTTCATGGTAGGAGAATTAAAAAAAAAAATCAACAATGTGTTTTCTGTAATACTGCTCAACATTCTCTCTGTAGTTTAGACTGGTGGGATTTTGCATTGTATTTACACTGTACTATAAACTGAAACACTTAGAATGGTTTGATTTTACAAGTATGGAGAGGAAAAAAAAAGGTGGATTATGCTTTTCATAGAACAAATGTTACCGTGACAGAATGTATTATTATTATTATTATAGGATCTTTCCATAATGCAGACAAGTAGAATGCTTGTTAGAAACCAGGTATGTAGGATAACAATTTGGTGTGTTTTCAATAAACCATGCCTGGAAAGAATACATGTGCCACTGGTTATCTTTTTGTTACGTCAGGTATCTCAAATATTCTTTGGCTTTGCAACAGCAGTTTTCTGTGGCAGGGGATTATTCAACCCTAGCTCAGGTCAGCACTCTGTGTTAGTAAAAGGTCAGTGGTAATGAGGGCAATAGGAATATCCTTTAAACTAGTATAGCTGAAAATTTGTGATTCATTGCCATATGCTGGAGTTGTAGCACAAAGTCCTGTAAGGACCCTGGACTGTAGATCATGGGGTTTTTTCCTTCTTAATATACAAGCATATTTCTGTGGGAAAGACATCTGTGTCACTGTTCAGAGGGCTGCACGTTTGGGACCACAAGCCTAACATGCTGATGGCTTTTCCATTTGGGAAGTTAACCTTTCCCAATGTAGTTATAAAATCCATGTAACTCTACAAAGATTTCTCTTTTCTGAAATGTGTGTAAGAATAACAGAAAATCTTTAAGTTTATCATACCAATATATGAGGTTTGGTCAAGATGAGAAATTGTTATTTTGGGGATGTGCCAAATAATTTACATCTGTTGCTATGTGGGGGAGAAAAATCCCGATGCTGAAAAGTCAACCATGTATTTCAAGTAACAGCTAGTTAGATCTAGGAACAGCTGGACGGATCTTAATTCTCTTGAGGTCTGCCTCTCCCTGGCACATTCATCTGTGTCGGTAAGATCAGCAGGGAGACTGATGCACCTAAACACATCATACGTACCGCCATGCCTTCATGAACCATGACAAAACCCAGTAAATCTTGACATGAGTGCTCTGCAAGGTCTTACAGATAGAGCGGAGGTCAGTTTTCTGTGAGTGAAAGGTTGATGAATCATCGCCAGTAATGGAGTTTGCTAGATGTTAATGCCTGATTGTACCATTCACAGCAATAGAAGGTTCCATTTACTTCCGAATGCTTGCAAACAACACTTGGAAGGTCATCTTCAGCTTGCCTTCCCTTCTTATTTCAGATGTCCTGAGTGCATCCCCAGGAGTTTTGTAAAATCATCTCCAGGTTCTGTTCTTGCAGCTGGAGGATCTAGTTTCACAAGTGCTGTGGTAAGACGTGGGCTCCTGGGCTAGGTATCATCGGCGTTCTGCTGCAATGAGGAAGCTGATTTTTTTCTGTGTGGATGCACTAATATGGCAATGAATAGTAGATGCTGTAGGTAAGGTACTGAGATAGAACAAGTATGTTGTTTCTACGACTGACCTTTTATAGCTGCCAAAGTGATTTCATTTCCAGCTTATCACAGGTTGGGCAAATGGAAGCAGCGAGTCCTGCAGGTGAAAGGTTAACCTGGTCACAACGGGCAAGAAATATCACAGCCCTCACTTGTTTCAGGTTTCAGCAGTGTCTTGGGGGAATATTCTGTCCTCATGGGTCTTTTCCCCAGTGTCTTGCTGTGAAGGTCTCTGTGCAACTGAAGCACAGCAACGGCAGAATCTCATTCTGGTACAAGCTGACAAGAGGGGATTTTTTACAGTGGGAGGTTGTTCTATAATGGGACCATTAACTGAGCTGTAGAGACAGAGGCAAAGACTAAAACTCTTTTGCTACGTTTAGTGTGTGTGCACAGCAAACATAGCTAGCTGTTATTCATAAGAGACCTTATAATTGATTCCTAATTGATTGACTACTCAACCAAATAAGCATGCATCACCACCCTGGTGGTGTCACCTTTGGGGGGAGAGTTGGTCTCTCTCTTGCTGCTCTTGTAGGCGTTTCTGTACGTTCTCTTCACTGCATCTCATGTTTGACTCATTGCTCGAAATTCTTCAGTGGGGTGCTTTTCACTTCCTCGTACCAGTGGGAGGAAGCACTAGTGCCTGTACAAGCATATGATGACTGCTGTTTGCTCTGATGAGTAATTTCTGCTGTAAGGATTGCTACATGGGTGCTGTTATGCTCAATTTGGTATTAAATTAGGAAGCAAAAGGGACTAGTGCTGGGTTTGACTCCCTCATAAATCCTTTTCCTCTCTTGTACACCGATTTAAAGAATCCATTCAATATTTTGAAAGACAACATCATGTCCCTTTGGGGTAACAGAGCGGCTCTGACAGAAACCAGACCTCACTTTCACGTGTTGCCTGAATCACTAAGACAACCTACAGAGTAGCTGTCATTTGGAGAACAGATCTCAGTTACCAGTATTTGGTGGGATCAACTGTTTGTGACATGACTTGTGAGAGTTTGCTGAAAGCTGTGTGTTGTTTTAGGGGAGTTATTTCCACTGGGAGCTTTCTATCAGTGGGCAGTCTTCAAACACATGCTTCCAGATGCACAGTTCCATACCTGTTTTGTGCAAGAACAGGTTGTGTCTTCTAATTGCAACAGGCTGATGTCGCAGTAACACTCAGTAGGTTTTTAGAATATATTTGAATTAGAAGATCCATTGTCTACCTTTTGCTTCTCCCAGAATTCAAAGCATGGCTTTATTTTGAAAAGTAACTCTTCTCCCTGGGAGATTTCACATTTATGTGTCAGTGACTCCGGATCATGTTTGCTCAACTGACCAAAAGCCTCTTTCTAATTGTCAGTCCTGCAAACTGAGCCAGGCTTTTTCCTTTTCATCCCTTGCCACCAATAATTAAGAGCATTTCAGAAGCGTGGTCAAGTGGAAAAATTTTTCTTGCATATGGAATTCTGTAAATAATCTGATGATACGTACACTGTGTTTATTTTTACAATTTGCCATGTGGGAGATCCTTTCTAATGAATTAAAATACCTTTTTTATACTAAAAGGTGGCTGTTATATTTGCACATTATTACACATGCAGTATTCACTAATGCATCTTTTGAAATATCCATGCTAACTCTACAGGTTCTCTCCTTCCCTAATTTTCTTGACAGTCTCTCAGACGGTAATTTCGGCCATTAACTAGCAGTAGGAATGTATTTTTCTGATCCTCTCTTGTGAAATGCAGAACAGTCTACCTGTTTGTTCTTACGCATCCTTCAGCATGTATCTGAGACTTTGGTTTGTTTATCAGTACATGTTAAGTGCCCTGCTATGGCAGGAGCGTCTGTTTAGGTGCAAAGGTGTTTAGAAACAAAAGAGGGTTCTTTGGAGTCATGACCGTAGGCGTACAGAAAAAATTTCTGGTCAACTGTATGTATCCAGATTTTCCAGTGTGCTCTAGAAACTTGTGTGTGCCAGTAAATGGGCTTGAAGATTATTTTCTTTTGCAAATTTTGCAAAAATTGCTTGGAATCACCTGAAGGACTTTGGCCCAGTGACTTTGAGTTGAGCCTGAATACCAAGAGGACGTGTTGCTACGCAAGCTTACAGAATAAATAATTTTCTTAATCACAGTGTGAGATGGAAGTGTTAGAACGCAGGGTCCGCTCCTACACAGGACAGCACAACAGAGTCACAGGGGCTGCTTCTGCATAATCTAACCCAGTATAGTAAATCTTGCGTCTTTCTCAACGTGACAGAGAAACTCTGATAATGTTGCCTTCTCATATGCCTGTGAAACGTACACGTTACAAGCTGGCTGGGTCACCGTGGTTTGCTTGGTCCATTTCTAAACTGACTTTACTGTGGGGCAATTCTCCGCTATGCTCATTATTGGTGTCCTGGCGGTGGGTTTTCTGTAGCACACAGGCCAGGGCAGATACACTTCAGTAGGGTGGGCTATAAAAGGAAGAAGTTGATAACAGGTCTGAAAGAATCCATAATGGGAAAGATGAGAATGGTTATCCCTGGTTTTCACTCTGATTTTTCAGCTGTCGGATCATTCTGTGGCTGTTCCAAGGCTGGAAATCCCAAGTGTAGTGCAGAATTAATGGGAAACAAAGGAAGTCGCATGCCTGCTCTATTGTTTTTTAGTTTTTATTTATAAATGTGACCATTATCTCATTATATAATCACAGCAGGACATGCCAGGAAATGCCAGTGGATTTCTGCATTATTCAGGTGAGTTAGAGGCTTCAGATTTGGCTTTGTATCTTCTCAGTGACAACCCTCACTGTTCACATAGTATTAACAACACTGAGGTTAACCAGGGTGTGCAGGACCCACCTGGTAAAACCCATTCTCTGTGGTCTTTATTTTTATACAGTGTCTTAAACTTCCACAGCACTTCAGAGGAAGAAGCTTGCCCTGCCCCTAAAAAGCACACACTATGTATATACAATATAATGAGGGGATAAGTAAATATGAGGGGATAAACATGAGGTATACTGATACTATGTAGTTTTAGTGTTCTTTTGGAAAGACCCTGCTCCTTTTGTTATCTGTCTGTTACTGTGTTTATTCTAATCTATTTACTACTTCAGTTTTCCCTACCTCTGCATGGGCAGATTAATAACTTTGTTTGTCTTCTGCAAAATTCTGTTTTATTTTCTCATCACTGCATGGGTCGGTCTTCTTTCAGCGCAAGCCATTTTCTCTAGTATAGAGATGATTAACTTTTGCAGTAACTATGCAAAAATGTATCTGATGTTGCGATAGGAGCCTCCACTGCATTAAGTGGTATGCTAGTAATTTAGCAAAATCAGGGCTCCTGAAATGGTCTTTTCTTGCAACACGCATGCTTTTTTCCACTCTTGATAACAATTAATCAGTTTAGCTTGGGGACACAAGTCTTCAGAAGGTGCAAGTGACTTTCTCCACCCCACCCTAAGCCCAAACTGTGGTTGTTTGGGTTTGAGCTCAAAATAACAGACTGTGTTGTTCGATGATGTGTTGGTCAAGGCAAAGCAATGTGCATCACCTTGGGTTTGCTGAATTATATAAAACAATGGAGCAGACCTTTGAGCAGTTACCCTGTTTAGTCCCAATCTTGGTTTCTACCTGATCTGAAATGATGTCCACTAGCTCTTTCTTTAATTACAGGCTCCAAAATAAAAAAACAAAACAAAACAAAATTTAAAGCATGGACAAGTTAACCTGTGCAGTTGCATTTATGTCATTTGAAACAAAGGTTGAGTATTAATGGCGCTCTCTATCCCAAAAACACAGCCTTTTCCATAGCATCCTCCACTTTCATATATTCCAGATGAGATGGGTAGTTAGTACATTGGAAACGGGGGTTGTTGCGCATATAGTTAAGGAATTCTGGAGCTCCTGGGACGATGATATTGTCAGCCAGAAGAACCGAGCCCTTCCTCAGCAAGTTGCATTCCTAGAAAGAAGAGAAATTGCTTCATGGTGGCTGTTGAGCAGACATTGGCTTGAAGGTAATGTGCTTTCCTGTTAACCATGTACTCAAGTGCCTGCATCCAAAAACCCATTGTACTACAGGTTTGGAGGGAAGAAAAGACATGGGAGAAGCTGAGTAACTGACTGATCCTTTGTGGTCACGTTTAATATGATGACTTTTTCTGCTAACACAATCAGTAGAACATTAGAGATGCTGATAACATGTTGAGTCATTCAGGTTCTGAAATAGAAAATCAAGTGCAGTGGAGGCGTGCAGTTTGCTGCTCAGATTGTTTCCAACTATGTCTACATGATCAGTAAGATGGTTTTGTTTTGGCTCTCAGGCCTAATGTTTGAAAACTTCTTTAATATCACATTAAAATGTTGAAGTAGCTCTTAAGGTCACCTGAGAGACTCGCATGTACCAGTCTGCTTTGGCCAGTCTCAGTCAAACTCCAAAACCACTAAATGAATAAAAGATTTTCTGCACTTGTTTTCCTTTCATCTTGTACAACTTTCTGCCATTTTGTTCAGGAGCTGGGCTTGAAGCAGGGTTTGTGCACAATGAAGATCACTGACAAATTTCCACAAGGCGTAATTAAACTTGCAATATTCACTTCAAGTGCAATGTTTATCCTCAGTAAACCTACAAACCTAATTTTTACTGGTATTTTTGTCTAGCAGAAGTTGTTTATCTGAGCTTACCAGCTGTTTTAACACAGTCTGTAGTTAATCAGGCTGGTTGTTATCCTGTGTTTACAGGCAGCAGTTGTAGCCAAAACATGGGGTGTTTTTTATTGCACCCAGTATATTAGAGAAGTCCTGTTGATGAGTGTGCTGCGGAGGCTGTTTAGCTTACTGCTCTTGCCTCTCGTGACTGAACACCAGTCAGCACAGTAGAAGCAATTTTAAAGACATGGCAAATATCCTCTGGTCTGTTGCGCAGCTTATAGAAGCCTACAAGTGACAGCATACTGTATTTTCCACTGGTCATCAGGATTTCAGATTCTCTTTGTGTCAGACTTTTCTACAAGTGCATGAAAAGGAATGCTGTCTGAGCCACCCTCATTATATATTTCACCTGAATATCTTAGTCGTATTTCATATTCATTATTCATATTGCAATACATGCCAAAATTGCATGTTAGAAGGTTTGTAACATCTGAGAAAATGTGGGGATCTTTTCTTCATCTTTCTCCTCTTAATTTTGTAAGTTTTTTGTTGTTGTTTTTTTAAGCAAAGCAACTTCATGTCACAGTTGCAACAGACAACACCATGATGGAACTAAACTACCTCTTTGTTTTGGCTGTGTTGTGAAGGTTAAGCTCCGATAAGGATGTGCTAGCTCTTCCCAGTGGAGAAAGCTCAGTCACCCTTACACAGGCAGTTTAAAAGAAAACATTCTCTGGGTACAAAATAACTGTAGGGAGGGAACATTTTCTTCAGCTACTGTTGTGTAAACTCAATACTGGCTGTTCACAACCCCAAACAAATTTCAAACAGCTATCTGAAGGACAGGGCTGAAATTAAAAAACAGGGGAGCCTGGATGAGAAAATAATGTAGTCCTCAAGCAGGGGACAGGACGTAGTTGGCAGGTTCTCAATGTAAGAAGCAGCGTCAAAAAAGGTGGATTTACTTGTGAAGAAAATAATTTAAAAATTACACTTCCATACAAATAGTTAGGCAGTTGTAGAAAATTTTATCAGCCTGCAGCTCCAAAGCTAGGAGAGTATCTGTGCTGTGTTGATAGATACAGATGTTGTGAATGTCAGTTATTTAACACTTGAAAATACCTTCCTATCCAGAAGTCCTCTAGTAGTTACCTCACCTATCATTGCCTACTGCTGTTACAGCCAACTTGTTTTGTAATGCTAACAGTAACGATTAAGGTGGACTGGGAAGAAATGAGCATAATTTTTCCACGTTCGGGGCTGGAGATAAGAGTTGGACAGCACTTCCCTAGCAAGTGCCTGACCGGCACAGTCTGCGCTCCTCCAAAGGTTGCTTTGCAGCCAATTAATTAGGTGGTGTAAAGACTCCCAGAAGGGTGATACCCAGCTGTGCTACCAAAATAGTATTTCATCAGAAGGCTCTGCTGGCACCACAGACCCAGGCAAAAAAAGGGGTACTGAGGAAATGAGAGAGGTGGAGCTGGGATATGCAGGTCCAAAGTCTCACCTGCTCCCGGGATCAGGATGGTTTTGGGTCAAATGTTCCAGTTAGTGACCGTGCAGACTCTCCTTCTCGGGAGCGTAAGACACAGACCATGCATTCTTCCAGCTGGGATTTCTACTGCAGACCCATTTGTTCAGGAAACAAAATGGTTCAACAGTATTTGCCAAGTCCTGAGCTATGTAGTGTCAGCACTTGTCCCTGACAAAAGTTTTGGATCCTGTCCCCAAAATCCTCTTTTCTTGTAAGGTTGCTATTTTGGCTGTCATTCTTCATTTTACAGAGGATGAGGTCCTTCATAAAGAATATAGGCCTCATGGACATCAAGGCATTTGCTACTTTACTTTTAAGACTGGAATTGTGCAAACTGACCTGAAGCAAGATGGTGTCTGGTGTGTATCTGTCTTTCCAGTGGTCCAGGAAGACAAAATCCAGAGTATCCACTTCATATTTTTTCTTCAGCTGGGGGATAATTTCCTCTGAAGGACCTTCTAGGAGTTTTACCTGAAATGCACATCCATCTGATGAATTGTGAACCATTAAGAAAAAGCACATGCCTCTAGTTCATTTTAAATTGTGGCCAGACATCAGCGATCCTCTTTATAGCTCAATATTGCCTCAGTTGAATTATTTCATAGAGTTAGATCAAGTGTACTTTTTTCTTTTTGACAAATCAACTCAGTTGTGTTCCAAAACATGGGTTTGGGTGGTTTTGTTGGGTTTGTGTTTGTTTTTTTTTTTTTTAAATAATAGCAGAAAGAGTGACCTGTTGTTTCTGTTGGATAACGTGATTCTTTACTGGAAACATGGGAATCTCCTGTTGAAAACAGTACTTTTAATTACTTCTTTAGTTACATCTCAGTTGAATCTTGTAGTCCAAGGGAAGCAAAAAATGCAGAGAATAGGTTAGTTTAGAATAAAGCTGGAGGCTACAGTATGTAAAATTCATATGGCCAGTAGAGGGAGAAGGCAGGACAGAGGCTATTACATCTTCCTCACAGGTTTATTGGCATAAGTGCTGTTAAACTGAAAGAAGCTGCTGCACATTGATTTGTTAAGCAAGCGCCATATACTGTGAGTGGAGTAAAAAAGCGGTAAGGAAATCTGTCTGGTTTATGACTCATAGCTGATTAGGAGATTAAATCAGATGGGGAAAATGCTATTTTAGATGTCACTAGTACTTCAGGTTCTCTTCAAGAAGTTAAGAAACGCATTAGAAGATCTCATGGTGGGATTTATCTCCTCTAGTTTTATCATCTATGTTGAAGTGAGTTGTTTAGTTGAATAGACAGGCACTTCTCGGGCATGAATCCTCTGACCTGCTGTAGATGTCTGCCTTGAGCTGAGACAGATCATAGACTGGAAATATCTGCATCTCAACCAACTGTACAGAGAGACAAGACACCTCAGATTGCACAAAATTTAGGTATATGTACTGTGACCAACTAGATTTGGGTAAGTACATCTCATCTGAAGTGCATTGCACATAATGCAACTGCTTCTTGTGAGCTTTTGTAACAAATTAGATTATGGTTCAGTTTTCTGTTGTACTCAGTCTTGACACTGATTTGAACCTTTTAGTTTATATAGAGAAAACCAATATTCTAGTCCAGGTTTTGGGAGGTAACATAGTTAAGTCCTCAGCTGTGCTGCTGTGAGAAGTCAGGGACTGTAACTAGGCATGGAGCTAGTTAAATTAATAAGGACTGTGGGTGCAAGAAAAAAAAAATACAAAATGTCTATGAATAAATGTCAGATATAAATCATAGAGAGGCTTCTGATTATGAGGAGGAGGAATCTTTGGGGCAGTCTTGCAGTTCAATAATGGCAGTAAATCTACCCAGTTTTGCAATACTAATTTTATGAAAAGGACTGTCTGTGCTGATGTCCTGTGACTATAAGTGAAATAATTGACTCTGGAGCCTCCCTCCAGGCCTGTATTATTATATTTGAAATATTATTATTATTTCAAAACCCTATGGGTTTTGAAAACAGCTGTCAGCAAATGGCCTGTCTACTGTACTAACCAGTGAATAGCAAAGAGGCCAAACTAGAAGATGAAGTCTAAATGCTTTCCAAATGTTAAGGAGATAGGGATGTGTATGATTGTTTCTGATCTTGCCCCTCTGAATCTTCATCCTGACTCACATAGCAAAGAACTTTGGAGAACAGCCCTGATTGTTTTGGTCAAACACACATCTTGACAAGCCTCAAACTCTACCCTGACTCTCAGCTGGGTCTGCATCGTATTTGGACTCCTGACTGATGCTAACAAATTTAGCTCACTTGCACGGTATATACAGAAGAGCAGACAACCTTGGTCCTCTGTGTGGATACTGGTAGCTTTTCCCTGCTATCAAGCCTGATGGTTAAACTCTGCATGTTCCCACTTAGGATGTCATACTTGCCTGACAAGTAAAAAACAAATTTAAACCTATTATTGTTGTTTCTATGGATAAAGTCCCACTCTCCATATATTGCTTCCTCATACCAACAAGAGATAAATGGTATTTACCTTATCTTGTACTCCAGCAAACTGAATCATCTGTTTAGCTATAGCAGCAAATTCTGGGTTGAACTCCACAGTGAGAAGGTGAGCTCCTGCCTTCAGTAGCCGAGCAATCCTAACTGCTGAGTAGCCACAGTATGTTCCCAGCTCCAGTGCAACTGATGGATTGACCTCTTCTACTGTCTTGTCTAGAATTAAACCTGAATAAAATGGAAATAAGGTTAACTTTTGGCAAAATCAAACTGGTTCACATACAGAAGAGCAGGTTAATGGCAGTAAAGAAACTTACAAACTCCATGTACTCAGTTGCTTGGGACATTCAAAAATTAAGGGTTGATGTCAAATTGTATATGTTTCCTCTGCGAATTGGCTTATCTGTGATCAAGTTGATCATGGACATTCTAAGTTTCAAAATGCAAACTTTCAACTAAAAAAATCTTAGTTTCACAATACAAACATTTCTTAGTAAGCAAATACCTGAATTAACTAAAATATTTATAGTGTTACAAGGGAAAAATGCAGGGGTTTTTTTTCCAATAACTTATTGCAGAAACTGGCCAAATTTGTGAAATATGTAACTCCTGAATTTTGAGTGCTCATATTTGTTGCAAATGTTACATGCAGTAGTCTGATACAAAATTTCTCATACTAAACACTTGTTTTTAAAGGGAAAAAGAAAAATCTAGTTATAAAATTGCAAAATATTTGGATTCACTAGATGAACTTGTGGAATGGAAAGCGTTAGTCAATTGTTAAGAACAAAAAAATATTCCCCAAAAGAAGTGACGGTGTACTATATTCGGTCCTTCTGAAGAAAAGGATTTATTTGAGAGAAAACTGTCTCCTCTTACTTGTATGGCTAGAAACTAGATAACTAATCTGAAAAAGTATTTGAAGGGATTTTACTCTGAGCCATGGAACTTTTCAATGTACATATACAAATAATTACATGATATTTTCCTGGGTTTCATTTGTTTATGAATAGTGTGATGATGATGCTTGCATCTTGCGATCATGTGGTCACTCTCAAAATCTTAGGAACTAAAGATGCATTAACTTTGATGGCTCTTATCTGAGGAAAGGTCATCTTGTCAGAGCAAAACAAGTGGAAATTTTAAGAATATAATCCCAAATGATCAAAGTTTAGAGCTTTAAGAATTCCTACTCAGCCACCACCTACTGTTCTGTTGCCCTAAGCACCCCAACCCGGTATGCAGAGGAGCTAGTTTCAAAATGTACCCATGACAGAGAAGCATTTTTATTACAATGCTTACGGTTGTATTTCATTAGCTATATTAATCCCAGACAAAGCAAATTTCCCCTGCAATTTCCCAGTAAGAGGTACTTTTGTGTCTAATTCATAAGGGAACATGTTAACATTTTGCCATTACAGTTTTTTGAAAAGATTGTCACTTTCCTGCAGCTAAGAAAAAACATGTTTTGTCCGCATATTTTCCTTTAGGAGGCAAGAACAAAATTATTTACTTGCTAAGTAGCAGCAATGTCTGATAGCTGCTTTCATGTATTACACGGGTAGGATTTCTCCCCTCAACAGTAACTTATAACTTATGCTTGCATACACAGAATTCATATTGTTTAAAACACTTTTTTTTTCAATTAGCTATCTTTCGGTTAAGGATCTGAAAGTACTTAACATAATGAATTATGCGTTAAGGCCACCCTGTATAGGAACTGAGTATAATGCAACCCTAGATTTTTCACATAAATTGTCACCCTCTGCTTACACACCTCCCATGTACACAACAAACAAACCCAGATTTGGTCCTATGACTTTCTGGATTACTCACTGGATACCCCTCCTCAAAAATATCTGCACAAGCACGCATTACTGTTTACAGAACTACTCTGCTGACCACAAGGCTCTTGTGGGTTTTATTTTTTTTTCAGCAGATGGAAGTTACCATGTGAATACAATAAGATGTCCTGTATTATGCTAGTCTTGAAGGATCTTTCAAGTGCTGATCCCTGCTGTAATTACCTTTCTCATCGCCCACATTCATGGCCCACTCTTTCTGGGAGCAGTACTTATCTATAGTGTCCAGCACACTACAGGGGTCTCCTCGGACTGCATTCTGCAGCACGAAATTTAAAATCCTCTGTTCTTTGCTCTGATTCATGATGAAATTGGTTATTTTTTCCCGGATTATTTCATTCCAGATAAGGGCAGCAGTGCCGTTTTTCCTGATGAGCACCACAAAGAGCAGCAAAATGAAAAGCAGGACGAAGACAATGAACAAAAGGACTGAAGAGCTCTCCAGCATCTGGAAGGACAGAGAAAAACAGCCCAGGGTTAAGGTGGCACGGGAGAGAGCTATCCTTTTTATAAACATTAAGCTGAATAACCCACAACCAACCATACTGAACAGGAACACACAGAGTTTAATTCTGATATTGTCCAGAGTAGCTGAAAATTACTCTCTCTGTCACTTAGTAATGGATGGTGCTCTGTGGCACTCCCTTTAGAAGCCAATTTTACAGGCAGTCAACAAGTAGCTTTATTTAATGCCCTTCCCCCACACAGCTGCTCAGTCCTGGCTCCAAGCATGCCACTGCACAAGGAGCCTCTCAGCATCAAAGCTGTTCTAACCATTTTTCAAAGGATTTAATATCTTTAATTAGAGCCTGCATGTGATCCCACTCTCCTAATTTTTGAGCATGGGGAAACTTCCAAGCTGGCCTTGGTAAGAAAATATGGAACGTTTCACCCTTTAATTTTGAGCACAGTATCAGCAGAAACTGGGTGCTGTTAGGTAACATTCTGTTTCAAATCAGCAGGTCCTAAGTTACTACCTGGCATGCAGACCTCTTTGCTAGCACCTGCCCTTCTTGCATGCTCTGCAGAGAAGCTGAGCTTGATGTTTCAGTAGGACTCGGCCTGCCTCCTTCCTTTCAGAGCCTGCAGCAGAAGTACCCAGGTGGAATGGTTTACAGAAGATAGCAGCCTTTTTCCTGTCTATAAAACCTTTGACACGAGCCATCAGTCTGATACTTTTGAGAACAAAAGATACATTTCCTTTTATAAAGTAGGGATGTTTTCTCACTGGTTATAAAACCATAAAACCGAATCCCTGAATCAGAGACGAGCCCAGGCTCATGAAATTGTAGAGATGTAACAAAAGGGCACATTGTACTTCTCTGACGGGCCAGCTAAAGCTATCTGATGGGATTGTGCCTGTTCTCCCCCTGAAATTCAGTGTCATAGCTGCAGGTGCCTATGTGTGTGCAGCATGGGTGGTGTGTGTTTCTGTTTGAAAGTGTAGGGCATATGAACATAAATCTCAGCAGATGGGATGCATGTCACCCTGCACAGCTAAAGCAATAAATCCCATCAAAGCCATTTACTCTGATGGATTTCAGACAAGCCAGTATACAGGAAGGTGCATTTACTTCCATGCAGGAGTCACAGGACAAAAGATCTGATAAAGAAAGGGTTCTTAAAATTAAGGAATTGATTTAGCCTTTGAGAGGGTGCCAAACTAAGGCTTGTGATTTGCCTGAGGATTCTCTGCACGTGAAGCTCCTCTCGTACAACCCAAAACACACCTCATTTCTGATGATGTAGCTTATAACACCTCCACTTTTCCACCTCTGCTTCCCGCAAGCCAGGGCTGACAGTTGCATACTGGGAGGAGAGCACAGGTTGGAATGTGCTCCAGTTAGTATTGGGATGAACGAATGCCAAGTTCATTTGTTCTTTAAGTCTAATTAGGCATTTGAGCACAGGCCTAAAGCATTCAGAACCAATTCCTTAACCTCAGCAGGCTGGCTTGAATTGCACTATTTTTTAAGCTGTTACTTTTAAAGAACATGACACTCAACTCGTTCTAGTCTCTGATTCTTTCTATTAAGTCTCTTTCTCTTCCAGCTTGCTAAAAATGGTGAACAGCTTCCACTTGCACTTGTATTAATGTTCCACCTACCTGGAGTTCAGCAAAACCACTGCTCCAACAGGAGCTACAACATCCTCAAAAAATTTGCCTAAGTTGCCCAAGACCAGAGGTAAAGGGGCTATATGATTAGCCAAATATTCCCCCCGATCTTTTCCTACCTGTTCTTGCTTCTCTTTTTTTGTTTGTTTCCCCTAAATTGTCCCAGAAAAATCCTAAATTTGATGGGTGGTCGGACCTCCATTCTGTAGTGGGACTTGGCACATACACATTACACATGGGAAAAATCTATTCCACTGCTTTAAATTTTGAATCATCATGCAGAACATTTTGAGTTCAGAAGATGACTGAGTTTCCATGGAGATATGCTCAACCTACAGTACAGCCGGTGTTTGTTCACCCATCCACTTATCTTAGTTGCACAGCAAGCATGATTTGTTTGGAGCAGTTAAAAGTCTCTCTCTCTTGCTTTTAAGTGGTCACCAATGTTAATACTTACCTTTAATGCTTTCCTTGCAAAGTCTGACCTGAGACATTTCCTTTCAGGGCTCGCCAGCATCATTAGCACATGAAAATCTTGCTTCTTGGGCTTTCTGAATTTTGTTTCCTAGCTAGTAAGAACCTGCTTCTTTACCTCAACAGGATCAACGTCAATTTTTCCTCTTCCCTTCTATGCACTAGTAGTTCTACTGATCAGTCCCAATCGCCCTGCACCTTCCAGAAGGGACTTCTGATTTTTCTAGTTGTTCTACATGAAGGTGTTCCACATTATCTGTCCACTGAGAACTTGGATTGGGCTATGAAAATATCATTGGCTTAACATAAAAATGTCTCTCTAGCTTCACTTGGCTTGTCTTCACTTGGCTTTCATGGCTTAGTTGCTTGTATGGTCATTGTTGATGGATTTGGATTACTGACATAGTTGAGAAAGAATTATTCTGAACTGCAATGAATGGATGGAGCCCAGAAACCATTTACTCAAGCCAGCAGGTATCTAACCTTCCTGCCTCTGGACAAGGGAAACCACGTGAGCTCTGCATACCAGTGACTCACTTGGTGGCAGTCCAACCGTATTCAGGTCCCTCCAGAACTGAAGACTGTTGGCATTCAGAATTATTTCAGACTACTGCCAGACATAATCCTCTGGTTACAATGGATACTTTGGCATCCTCTGAGTACAATTTGCCACAGGCTGTTGCTTTGGCACTACAAGATTCTCCCAGCATGTTTGGGGCTGCCCTTCAAAGATCCGTCAGACAGCAAGAATGGATGATAGCTGCAGGATAAACTAGGTGGTATATTTTTTGAGGAACAGCTTTCTTCCCTTATTGCTTAGTATAGATATGAGACCATTTGGTGAGATTTCTCAAAAGAGGGAGAGATAGCATCTGTAGAAACCCGCCCGTGCCTGCAGGAATTCTGAGACTTCTTTTTCGGACAGGGAACAGACTGTGAAGACTTTTTTTTATACCTTAACAAAAAGGACCTACTTGACAGTAAAATCCTGCCCCTCCATTTTCACACTGCTTCCCAGGCATGGAAGGGTATGTCAGCAAACCAGGTTTCCGTTGTATTATTTTCCCACGCTGCTACAGGCTCTATACACCAAAATTACAAGACATCACATGCTCTGAAGTCCACATATTAAAGAAGGACAGCTTCTTCATTGTCTGCAGTCTGTGAAATGCTATTTCTTAACGTGTATCTCTTAGCCAGAGCAGAGAAAAGCACTCGACTCGGATTAGACCTGCTGATTTTTAGTAACTTCAGCTTATCTTCAACAAATAAATACTTCACCCTCATCCTTACTTGGACAGCAGTATCCTTTTAAAGATTTTGTTGTTTTAAAAGAGTGCACTTTGTGCAGAGAAAGATGCCTGGTTTGAGATGTACATGCCCTATCTTTTCAAAGGCATAGATTCTATTTAGACTGCTGCCACCCACGGCAGGTACTGCAGTGTTGTCATCCTGATACCAAGAAGCAACTAGCTTGACAAAAAGGTGTAAAGTGGGATATGCTTCCGAACCACACAGATAGCTATCGCCTTCTATCTCTTCTAGCCATTCTTTATGCAAAAGCATGAGCAGGCTGACAGCCCTTTAGCTCATCTGGAAAGGCAACAACTGATAGTTCTGCTGGGCCACCCAGGAAACAAATTTTGGATCTTCACTATGAAATCTTATCGCTTCAAGTTTACCCAAGAATCCCCTCTGAAGGCAAAATACTAACCTGCATTTCTCTTTGTGTCTCTTTGGATCTAGACTGGTGAGTGGCTGTTAGCACTGGTTTGTTTATACATTTTGTGTAACATATTTGTCAAGAAGACAAAAAAAGCTATAAATTTAAGCTCAAATGTGTGTGATTTGGGGATGGTCTTGGATCTAAAACTTAAGCAAAGAAGCAATTCAGCTTGGCCATTCCTATGATCAAGTGCTCAGAGGGATCCATTTCTTACAGTGCCTCAGTTAGATCTTTGCACTTCTGAGTCCCAAATGAATGCTGCCATACGTAACAGCAGAGCCCACCTGCCTCCACAGATCCTTAGAGGTTGCTCACAGGTAGCAACAACCTATATAATACATGCTGGTTTTTTCCATTCCTAGACAAGGTCACTTGTTTTTGCTGTATCAAGGAATGTTTTTCAACTACTGGGGTTTTTTTTTAATTATTATTGCTGTATAACACCCCAGCAACTTCATAAACTGGCAGTATGGGTTGTTGTTAGCAGAGCTCCTTTAGGAGGCAATTACCCTGAAAAACACTTTCTAGAGAAGGTAACTTTTAAAAGGAGCAAGTCAGACATATCTTTTCCTTTTCCTTTTTTTTTTTTTTAAACACACTTTCTTTTTCAAAGTTTGTCTCTCTCTTAATTTCTGTCTTCTTAAAAGTGAAAATAAATTTAGGGATAGCAGTAGACTGTAAAAGCAGCCTGCCAAGAGCAAGATGCATTGGTGATGGTCATGTACCCAGAGGGGAAAAAAAAATCTATACCAAAATAGGTAATTGCTTTCATATTCTTAGGTGGAAAATATTTTATATGAAAACTAAGTGTGTAATTAAACCAATTTAAAACTACCACTACCTAAGAGACAGTCATGTTATGACAGCTTTAGAAAATGCAACTGTTATTTTAGCTTTAATGTGGATTCATGAGATTCATTAAATATGCAATAAAACTGAACTTGTGTATAGTCAAGTTTCCCATAACCACTTATTACAAGGCAGTTGCTCTTATTATTTAATGCTTGTACTGAGGTTCCAAATACACAGGTTAGCACTGCAACCTGTCTGTGCATTAGAAACACCATGATAAAGTGAGCCTTCTCTTTGAAAGCTAAAATTTGAAGTGGAAAATAGTAGGCAAAATGAAAAA